ATAAAAGATCCTACTACCACCCAATGGCGACGTGGGCCCATAGGCCGCACAGCCATGTTAGTAAAAAGTTTTGCAATAACTAGACTCAACTTCGGCCAAGGAGTGTGGAAGGGGATTCCTACAGGCAGTCAGCTCTGATACCAACTTGTGACGCCCCCGATTTGACCGTACACTAATCATACACGCAAACGTGTATGATCAAGATCAGAGACTCACGGGAAGATATCACAACACAACTCTACAAATAAAATAAGTCATACAAGCATCATATTACAAGCCGGGGGCCTCGAGGGCTCGAATACAAGAGCTCAATCATAGACGAGTCAGCGGAAGCAACAATATCTCAGTACAGACATAAGTTAAACAAGTTTGCCTTAAGAAGGCTAGCACAAACTGGGATACAGATCAAAAGAGGCGCAGGCCTCCTGCCTGGGATCCTCCTAAACTACTCCCGGTCGTCGTTAGCGGCCTGCACGTAGTAGTAGGCACCTCCCGAGTAGTAGTAGTCGTTATCGACAGTGGCGTCTGGCTCTTGGACTCCAATGTCTGGTCGCAGCAAACGGGTACAGGAAAGGGGAAAAAGGGGGAGAAAAGCAACCGTGAGTACTCATCCAAAGTACTCGCAAGCAAGGAGCTACACTATGTATGCATTGGTATCAAATAGATTAAGGATATCATATGTGGACTGAACTGCAGAATGCCGGAATTAGAGGGGGATAGCTAGTCCTTTCGAACACTACGCTTCTGGTAACCTCCATCTTGCAGCAGGAGAAGAGAGTAGATGGTAAGCTCACCAAGTAGCATCATGTAGCATAATCCTAACCGATGATCCTCCCCTCGTCGCCCTGTGAGAGAGCGATCACCGGTTGTATCTGGCACTTGGAAGGGTGTGTGTTTTATTAAGTATCCGGTTCTAGTTGTCATAAGGTCAAGGTACAACTCCAAGTTGTCCTGTTACCGAAGATCACGGCTATTCGAATAGATTAACTTCCCTGCAGGGGTGCACCACATAACCCAACACGCTCGATCCCATTTTGCCGGACACACTTTCCTGGGTCATGCCCGGCATCGGAAGATCAACACGTCGCAGCCCTACCTAGGCACAACAGAGAGGTCAACACGCCGGTCTAAATCCTATGGCGCAGGGGTCTGGGCCCATCGCCCATTGCACACCTGCACGTTGCGTACGCGGTCGGAGAGCAGACCTAGCAACCTCCATTACAAAGGATGTTGCATTACGCGATCCAACCCGGCGCGCGCCGCTTAGTCGCTGATGTCACGAAGGCTTCGGCTGATACCACGACGTCGAGTGCCCATAACTGTCCCCGCGTAGATGGTTAGTACGTATAGGCTAATGACCAGACTCAGATCAAATACCAAGATCTCGTTAAGCGTGTTAAGTATCCGCGAACGCCGACCAGGGACAGGCCCACCTCTCTCCTAGGTGGTCTCAACCTGCCCTGTCGCTCTGCCTCAAAGTAACAGTCAGGGGCCGTCGGAAACTCAGGCCCACCACTACCTGGATGGAGCCACCTGCCCCTTCAGCCCCCATCTCCGAACAGTATCATAAGTAATGTAACAGTATAAGTATACAACATATGCCCGTGATCACCTCCCGAAGTGATCACGGCCCAGTAGTATAGCATGGCAGACGAACAAGAGTGTAGGGCCACTGATGGAACACTAGCATCCTATACTAAGCATTAGGATAGCAGGTAAAGATAACAACAGTAGTAGCAAGGACAGGCTATGCATCAGAATATGATTAACGGAAAGCAGTAACACGCTACACTACTCTAATGCAAGTAGTATAGAGAAGAGTAGGCGATATCTGGTGATCAAAGGGGGGGCTTGCCTGTTTGCTCTGTCAAGAAGGAGGGTTCGTCAACACCGTAGTCGAACTAGGGGACGCCGGCAGTCTCGGGGTCTACCGGAAAGAAGTAACGAAGGGGGAATACAATAAATAATAGAGCAATCAAGGTATCACAAAGCATAACAAGACAATATGCAGTGCTAGAGGTGACCTAACGCGGTACTAAGTGACACCGGCAAAGGGGGAAACATCCGGGAAAGTAACCCCGGCGTTTCGCGTTTTCGGACAGATGAACCAGAGGGGAAAGTTGTGTGTTCGCTAAGCTAGGGGTGTGTGGCGGACGAACGGGCTGCATACCCAGAATCGTCTCGTCGTTCTGAGCAACTTTCATGTACAAAGTTTTTCCATTCGAGCTACGGTTTATTTTCTATGAATTTCTGAAGTCTAAACAATATTCTAAAATTATTTCTAATTATTAAATTCGACAGAAAAGGAATAATGACGTCAGCATGAGGTTAGAGTGATGTCAGCAGTCAACAGGGCGTTGACTGGTCAAACTGACGTGTGGATCCCACTGTCATAGACACAGTGTAGTTAAACAGTATAAGACTAACTAATCTAGTTAATCAGGTTATTAAGCATGTTAATTAAGTTAATTAATCATATTACTAATTAATTAATTACTTTTTATTACTTTTTCATTCTTTTTTTCTGTTTTACAAGGGCTGTCCCACATGTCATAGGGTACAACTAAAGCTAACTCTAATATAAATTAGTCTGACAAAGGGGCTTGTTTAACTAGGGATTAGCCCCTAAACTAGCAAAGGGCCGGCCACACTCAGAACACACATACGCTGCACACACCACACAACACACTTGGCCATGGCCACGGTAGTGGGCAACAGTAGTACCAGCAACAGAGCAACATAGCAGCGGCCTAAGCACGAAGCAGCAGTAACAGCAATTAGCAGATACAACAGTAATAAACAGCAGCAGAGAGCAGCGGCACAAGCAGTTCAGTGCAGCAGGCAGCGACGAAAAGTAGCAGTTGCGGGCGCAACGCACGACGACGGGAGCGGCGGGGTGCGGCCAGGGGACGGCCGGTGCACGGCCTGTCGCGGCCAGGGTGCGCGTGATGGGTTCGGGTAGGTGCACGCAAGAGCGCGGGTGCGGCCACGGTGAGGTCCGGCCATGGCGGACGACGGAGCTCGGTGCTTGTAGGCTTCAGTAGTACGGCACGAAATCGACGGGAAAACAAAGGGTAAATCGAAGGGAGCTCACAACGGGGCTGTAGGGCAAGTCAGTGTGCTCGGGGGTGCGTCGGGGATGGATTGGAGTAGCGGCAATCGACGGCGGACGGAGACGATGTACGCGGAGATGACCAAGTTGATGGCTAGCGTATGAGACGTCCCGGCTCGATTCGATGCTCGGGATAGACGGAGTCGAGGGTGGTGGTCCTCCTGGACATCTTCTCAGGCGACAGGGAGGCCGGTGACCATGACGACGACGGCGGCCATGGAGGGCGCCGTTCAGTTGTATGTTGCGGAGGAGAGAACGACGCGAGGGAGGAGAAGGGAGAGGGCTAGGGTTTGCTAGGGTTTGGGGGGCGCGGGGATGCCTTGAAGGCGTCGAGGAGGTCGGGGATGGCGCCACGCACGGCCTGGCGCAGCCATGGCCGACGGATGGCCGCCACGCCCTCCCCCGTCCCATGTGCACAGTAGATCTCTAGGCCCATATTCTTTTTATCCTTTTATGTTTTATATTTTTGACACCGTTTTCTATTTTCCTTTTGTACCAAACGATTTTTTGTGAACATGAAATTTGGCACATAAATAATAGGGATTATTTTGAGCTAGCAGAAAAAGTTTGGGGGCAATTGGAGTTAAATAAATAATCGTTAATTGTGAAAAGGCCATTTTATTCATTGTTGGGCCACTTATTAATTTCTAGGAATTTCCTTGTGGGTCAAGTGAAGTTGGTTTCAACATGGCAATGATCAGGGAAATATGTAGCGTATTGTGAACATTTTAGATTTACGGTTTGAAAACTTTTATTGTTTAACTTTATTTTAAATGTGAATTCGATCGGGATTTTAATCATCGCGAGATTGATAACAGTCATCGCGTTGACGTGGCATCATTAGTAGAGGGTTACTGTAGTCTGATTATCCGGGCGTCACAAGACCCATGTAATTTCGAAATACTTAAGTATAGCTTGTTTTTAGAGTCCTTATGTGTAGGGAAACAAAAGATAGGCTTGGTTTCGGACCTCTCCCTCAAGGGCCACGAAATTCCCCCCTCTTTCTTCATATATACAACCCTTATGGCGTCGTTAGACTTTGGGCTTTGTTTAGATTAAAAGTTTGTCATAGCTGCAACTTTGCGTATTTCATTTGTTTTCAACGACCAGACTAAGACGTTACAGAACCCTATCTTGATCAATAAAACTTTCATCTTATATTCGCAAAATCCAGATTGCAATATCAGATTCTTGATTGTTCTTCGTTTGCTCGTAGAAAATAGACCCTCGTGGTTGGGTTGATCATGCTCCGACATGGTCAATAACCCTCAGAGATTGGTTTAGCGATTGCTAAGGCGCGACATCTTTGCACCTTTGTAGTCAGATCGTCAAAGTCGACTCCCACAGAAAACGATAGTTATCTCATTGAAACATTGGGACACCTTTGCCTCTATCATGCGTCGCCTCCATTCCTGTATCCACGGCCTCCTGCCCTCACCGCCGGGCGATGCTTGATCCGTCAGCACCATGGATAGCTGGGAGAGGGAGAGAGATTGAAATGAGAAGTGGGTGAAGTGGCGATGCAGGTAGTGGGCTAAGCCTTACAACTTTATGTTTGTTCGACTGGCCGTGGTGGCATCCTCCAATGCTTCAAGATATGTGCTTATTATCTGACGATCAATAAGTCGTTTGCTCGAGATTGCCAAAAATCTGCGTCAATGCTATAAACTTTAGAGAACGTGACGGTTTTGGTTGTGTGGAACTTGATACTCACATCAACCTAGCCCCGGAAGAATTGTAAAACAAATCTTAAACTTTCTCATGCCCGTTTCTCCGCGCTCTCCCGTCGGTTCCTGTCTCTCCCTCCATTTTCCGCTTCGTTCCTAGGGTTTTCTCCCCCTCCTCCTCCTCCCAATTCTGCGCCCCCGCTCGCGCGATCCCCTCCGCGATGGTCTCCAGCGCCCGTAGTTCCGGCGGCATGGCTCACTCGGCTTCCAACAGCGCCGGAAGCGCCGGTTCCCCCTCCGGCGGCATCGGGCCCGGCAAGGGGGTTGCGGCGGCGGCCGCCACGACCTCGGCGTCAGCGTCCACGCCGGCCAGCGGGAGCACCGTTGCCCGCCGCCTCAATGATCTCGAAATTCAGGGAGATGACCCGCCATCGTCGCAGCCCGTTGCTAGGTTCGTGAAATCTGCTGTCGTGTTGCTGTTTAAGCTGAGTTGCTCACCACCTTCTTTGCCCGGGGACTGTGTACCGCAACCTTAGCACTGGGCGGTATAGAGTAATTTTGCGATCTGAGATGCGGATTTTGGTCTCGTGAGCTGTACTATGTAGAGCTGCATTTCGCTGTCCACGAAATTCAGTCGATGCATACTTCCTGCAGCATGTGTTGGTTTGAATTGGTGCGCATTGGCTACTGAAGAGGGTGTTAGGAAGATGCGACGGTGAACTACTGGACTTCATCGGATTGTTATGATTGCTTTACATTTGATTGTTAAAAAACAGGCGATTGCTAACTGTTGTTTGAGTAACAGCATGCTCTGAAGTCCATTGCCTTAGAACTTTTATGGGTGAGTTCATATTTTGCTTGGGACTTCCATGCTTCAAGCTATTGGATGTATCTTAGTGTTAGATGTGTTTCCTGTCAAGGAGTAGATAAGTAGTGTGATATCAAGCTGTGCCGCTTATCCTTTACACGGGTACACTTGCTGACCATCGAAATGTTGCGAGGTATCGATATCGTCTATGTGTAATTGCATAGAGTGCTCCTTAGGACAAAAGTGGAACGTCACTCAGACTATCAGAGTTGGTGGCAGGTTTTGTGCTTTGGATTTGTCTATAATCTAAGCTGTTCCCTGTTGGCTTCCTTAAATTAGACATCTTCTCTATTTTCTTTCTTGAGATTGGACTTTTTCACTTATTCTTAATTGATTAAAAATTAGCAGCATTAAAAGATTTTACAGTGGTTCTGCTTTGTCATTGCAATACATTATTTTCTACGTAATTTTAGTATTTTACTTATTTTATCTTAAAATCTACAAGTAGCTGTGCACTTTTGACAGATAGCTGTATGGTATTTGCAATGCAGCAAGAAGAAAAAGAAAGGAACACGCGTAGTAGGTCCCGACAAAGGTAACCGTGGATTGCGCCAATTCAGTATGAAAGGTGAGTTGAATACTCTTCTTTCCTCTAGTACCTCTGCGATAGTCATCTTCTCATCATCATGTAAGCATACTGATTCATAGGGCGCACGCAGAATACATATGACATACTGCTCACTCCATTTTCTGATGTAAAAGCATAATTGATATTTTCTCTGTTTGGTTCATTGTTAATTTGTTATTAAGAAAACCAGTTTATTGGGTCATATCTGACCAAATATAGTGTTAAAAGTTCTCATGAAGTGTTTCATTTGGTCTTTTTCAGTCTGTGAGAAAGTTGAAGGCAAAGGGAGAACAACCTACAATGAGGTGTTTGTTTTTTGTTTCTTTCTATGCAGCAACTTATCTTGTTTTAGCATAATTGATGTGTGGATATATATAATATACAAATGTACATCCACACTTTTAAAAAGGTAACCGCAGATATCTGAACCACTATTATGTGATTATGGATCCTCGTCATGCTATAAGCTTGTGTTAGTTTGTTCACCAAAGTCTAGAGACATCAATTGTCACTGCATCTTATTATTCTAACCAATTCCTTTTTCGGTTATGGGTTACATGATACGGTTCGGAGGCACCCTTAGCTTGTGTATCACACAGACGTACACAGTAAAAGGATACAGCAGAGTCTGCTGAACTACCAATGCAGGAAGAAGCATTGCTAGATGTTTAATCTCTGAGTTAACATTTCTGTTTGTCTAGTAAAAGGAAAAAAGTGAATCTGTTCTGACTCAAATTTATTGTGTCAACATGATTAAAGCTTTGTACACATGAACCTTACTGGTTTTGCTCATTTGAGTTGAGCATACTATGTTGATTTGTCACAAAATGTGGAAAATCCGCGTTATGCCGATCTGTTCCTTTTACTTTGTATAAGACAAAGGCTATTTCAAAGGACATTCCTCTGTTCATCTTTGATTGATGGGATTGAATCTATCCATTTTATTCATATTGTTTTGCTAACATATAAAGTTCAGTCCAACATGCCTTGCAACATATTTTCCCTGTTTGTTCATAAAACGAAGCGTCTGTAACAAATCGGTTTTGTCTTAGTTAGTAAGAGGCAGAGCTCCTGCCGGTTTCTCGAGAAAGGAAAGAAACTGAAGAACCAATTGTGCTATGTGTGCCTCAATAATTCAGTAAAGCAAAAATCGAGACTACAGTGTGTTAGAATCCTGAACATCAGGCTCAGGAGAAGAGGCAGCCCTGTTTCCTTGACGTGTATTCACAATGTGTGTTAACTGCAAACTTCAATTACCATTTTTAGAAGAAAATACTCTTTGCTAATGTAGTATGGTTCTATCACTGCCATGTTGTTAGGACCTAGGGTTCGGGGCGTGGGCTGGAACGCGGCGGCCGGCGGCGAGGCGCCGTCCTTGCGGCTGGGTGGCGGCGGCGCAAGAGAGAGAGGGGCTAGGGTTTAGGGTTCCGGCTCCTCTGGGAGTCGGGCAATAGAATAGTCTTATTGCTTAATCCTCAAAATAGTCTTACAACTTGTATATATAATCATAATCTGAAGTGGCCTCCGTATCCCAAGAGAAGGCGTCGCGGCGGAGGAGACGCGTGAGCGGGGCCGCGATAAGGCCAAACTCCCGGATGAACTTCCGGTAGTACCCGGCAAGACCAAGGAAGCCGCGAAGAGCCCGCGGAGACTGCGGAATGGGCCAGGCGGTGACGGCTGCCACCTTGTCGGCGTCCATGGCCACACCCTCGGCCGAGATGACGTGGCCGAGGTAAGCGACCGAAGGTGTCCCGAACGAGCACTTCGAGCGCTTAAGATGAAGATGATGCGCCCGAAGCTCGTTGAAGACGATGGCCACATGCTGGAGGTGCTCTGCCCAAGAGGCGCTGTAGATAAGAATGTCATCAAAGAAAACGAGCACAAACCGACGTAAGTAGGGCCGGAGGACATCGTTCATCAAGGCCTGAAATGTCGCCGGGGCGTTGGCGAGGCCAAAGGGCATCACCAAGAACTCGAAGTGGCCGTGATGGGTCCGGAACGCCGTCTTGGCGATGTCGTCGGGATGCATGCGCACCTGATGATACCCCGACCGGAGGTCCAGTTTGGTGAAGAAGCGCGCACCATGTAGCTCATCCAGGAGTTCATCGACTACCGGAATAGGAAACTTATCCTTAAGTGCGAGAGCATTAAGGGCGCGGTAGTCGATGCAGAAGCGCCAAGTGCCGTCCGACTTACGGACGAGGAGGACCGGCGCCGTAAAGGGTGATGTAGAGATACGGATAATGCCCGCGGCAAGCATGATGGCGCACTGCCGCTCCAACTCGTCCTTCTGCAACTGAGGGTACCGGTAGGGCCGTACTGCCACCGGAGCCGAGCCCGGCAGGAGATGAATACGGTGGTCGTAGACCCGGGCCGGCGGAAGGCCCTGGGGTTCCGCAAAAAGATCACCGTGCTGCTGCAGGAGGTGATCCAGCAGCGGATGCTCGGCCTCCGTGGTGGCCGCGGCTAGCTGGAGTGGGGGCGACGCCGGGGTGCCGCCAACGCCCTCCCACCGGATGCGGCGGCCGAGGCGCCAGAAGGTCATCGTCAGGGCGTCGAAGTCCCAAAGGATGGGACCGAGAGTCCGCAAAAAGTCGACGCCGAGGATGAAGTCGAAGCAGCCCAAGTCGATGCCGGCACATGTGATGGTAAAGTGCTCGTCGCCGATAGTAATGGGAACGTCCCGAGCAAGCCCATGGCATCGGAGGCGGTCGCCATTAGCGACGGTGACCCGCAGCTGCTCCCCTCCTGTCGGCTGTAGGGCAAGGCGCCGCATAGTAGCCTCCGGAAGGAAGTTATGTGTAGAGCCCGTGTCTAAGAGAGCCACCAGAGTCTCGCCGTGGATCGTGACCGGAATAAGCATAGTCCGCTCATTGCGGATGCCGGCCAACGCGTGGAGGGAGACGACAAGGGCCGTAGCCGGCGCGGGCGCGGGTGCCGGCGCGACCTCGGCGGCGGCTGGGTCGCTGAGTCCCTCGTCGGTGGCAGCGTCCTCGGTCTCGTCGACTGTCTCCAAGTAGAAGAGGCGCGGGCAGACATGGCCCGGGGCATAGGGCGCATCACAGTTAAAGCACAGCCCCAGGCGGCGGCGCTCGAGCTGCTCGGCCTGCGAGAGGCGCCGGAAGGGCCGCGTCGCGGCCGGAGTGGCCGTCGGTGAGGCGGCTGCAGAAGCTGGTGTGGCCGGCGGTGGTCGTGGAGGCACTCGGCTCCCCCGAGGTGGTGCGGGCCGTGTTAAGGCCTGGGCGCGCAGCTCGAACGCCCGAGCGTAGTACATGGCCGTCTGCAGGTCCTGGGGTCCCTTCATCTCGACGTCCACGCGGATGTGGTCGGGAAGGCTGCCGACGAAAAGCTCAGCCCGCTGTAGTGCTGTCACCCCCGGTGCGTGACACGCCAGAGCCTGGAAGCGGTCGGCGAAATCCTGGACCGTGGAGGTGAAGGGTAGGCGGCCCAGCTCGGACAAGCGGCTGCCGCGCCGTGGCGGACCGAAGCGAAGGAGACACAACTCGCGGAAACGATCCCAGGGGGGCATGCCGCCCTCGTCCTGCTCGAGGGCGTAGTACCATGTCTGGGCGGCACCCCGGAGGTGGTATGACGCGAGCCAAGTGCGCTCGGACGCGGGTGTGCGCTGTCCCCGGAAGAACTGATCACACTGGTTTAACCAGTTAAGAGGGTCCTCCGAGCCATCATACGTGGAAAAGTCGATCCGGGCAAAGCGAGGTGGTGTCGGGGTCGATGCGCCAGTGCCCACCGGTTCGTCGATGCGAAGGGCCGAGGACGGCGCGCCGAACTGTAGCGTGGGCACCGACGGTTCGCCGGCCTCTGTGTAGACCGGCGGTGGCGAAGATCCGGTGAGCCAAGCCGGAATCCGAGAGGGCGACGGTGGAAACCGCACCTGCTGGATCGGAAGCCCCCTGGAAGGGCCCTGACTCAGGCCGGCGGTAGGCGGTGGAGACGGCGTGGGGGCCGGCGCGGAGGGGGCCGGGGCAGACCAGACCGGCCACGGGGTTGGGGCGGACGCGGCCGATGCCGCGGGTGCTGGCGCGGGCCAGTGTGGCCAGGCCGGCGCTGGAGCGGCCGGCTGTTGTAGCGCCGGGTAGCCGCCGGCGAGCGCGGCAGGCACCGAGTGCCACGGAAGCGTCGGCGGCCCGGAGGGTGCAGGCGGCGGGGGCGGCTGTGGCGGTCCGTACGGGCTGGCCAGGAAGAGCCGGATGCCCTGGACCGCGACGACCAAGTTGTTGAGGACCCCCGCCATGGCCTCCGGGGTGTAGTGGGCCGGTAGAGTTGATGGCGACGGCGGCGTAGTGGTGATGGGGGCCGGCGGATGGCCGGGTGACGCGCCGGGGATGAGGTCCAGCGACGCGGACGGGAGGACCAGCGACCCCGTGGCGAGGGGCGCTGATGCGGCGGTGGTGGTCACGGGCAGCGACGGCGATGATGGTGAGGATGACATGGTCGAACCAGAGCTGGCTGATACCAAGGTGTTAGGACCTAGGGTTCGGGGCGTGGGCTGGAACGCGGCGGCCGGCGGCGAGGCGCCGTCCTTGCGGCTGGGTGGCGGCGCAAGAGAGAGAGGGGCTAGGGTTTAGGGTTCCGGCTCCTCTGGGAGCCGGGCAATAGAATAGTCTTATTGCTTAATCCTCAAAATAGTCTTACAACTTGTATATATAATCATAATCTGAAAATAAACTAAGATAACTTGGGCCTTAAGCCTGCCCAGTGGGCCCCCGGCGGCCATAGACCTGGCCGGTCATAACACATGTTTTCCTTTTGCATTGCAATTTAGCTATTGCTTATACGATGTAAGGCCTGTCTTTTTCAGGTGGCAGACGAACTTGTAGCTGAGTTTGCAGATCCAAATAGTAATATTGGGTCACCAGATCCTGATAATCCCAACACAGTTAAGAAATATGGCTACTCCTTCTGGTCAGTTATTTGTTATGTGCAATGTACTGATTGTATGTAAAATTCAGCAACAATATGATGAGAAAAATATACGAAGAAGGGTTTACGATGCACTAAACGTCCTGATGGCTATGGATATTATATCTAAAGATAAAAAGGAAATTCAGTGGAAGGGCTTACCCCGAACAAGTTTGAGTGATATTGATAAATTGAAGGTAAGTTTGTCCCTAATCATGTACTCCCTCCATCCCAAAATAAGTGACTTAACTTTAGTACAACTTTCTACTAAAGTTAGTATAAAGTTGAGTCACTTATTTTGAGACGGAGGGAGTACTTAACAACTGTTCTACCTTTCTTCTGGTTGTTTCCTTCATAAGTTCCCTAATCATGTAACTGTTCTACCTTTTGGTTGTTTCCTTCATAATTTCATGTGCATTTTACAGACTGAGGTCATTGGGCTGAAAGGTAGAATTGACAAGAAAAGTGCATATCTGCAGGAATTACAAGATCAAGTAAGGACATATGGCATTTTTACGCGGACCGATAATTTGAATTATTCTGTAATCCCCAGTCTTTAAAATTATGACAAGGAACTTGGTTTCATACATCTTCTAGATCACTTGCTATTTTTGTATACATATTGATTTTCTGTGATGGTGAATGTTTCAGTTTTTTCACCCTATATAGTGAAATATTCATCCATATCAATAGGGAATCCCTTCGTGTACACTTCTGTGCCACAGCATGGGTGCAGAATCAGGAGAACAGCTAATCTACGATTCAGCCTTTATGGTGCATGCTTAATTGATCGATGCAATGTTCAACTGCTGTATGTCTGCTAGATTTATTGTAGGGCTGAATGCTTAGCAAGCATATATCTGTTTTAAAGTTATCATAGTACTATAACTAAGCTGGCTTATTTTAAAGTTGTGGTATGCCAGAAGTTTGTTATTTCTTGTCTGATATCAGAAGAAGATTGGAGTATATTGTACGGAAAGGTATCATTAATATCTAGGTGTTAACCATGTTTTTTCTTCTACTTTTCTGTATTTAAGTATGCGGGCCTCCAAAATTTGGTAGAGCGAAATGAGCAGCTATATGGTTCGGGAGATGCTCCATCTGGCGGAGTGGCCCTGCCATTCATATTGGTTCAGGTAAGCAAAATTGTATCCTGTAATTGATATGTGGGCTTAAATGAAGTTAATCATGCATTATATTCAAATGCTAAAGCTGATGATCTAGCTAACTTGTGTTGCTATTGTACATTTTACACTTTGGAGCTTATCGTGCTAAATAGAATTTTGATTTTCTGTGAACTCGAACAAGAAAGTTTCTGCTTCCCCTTTGGAGCTGTGGGCATGCTTTATTCATTCACATTGCTACCTCAAGTTGTGCGCATTTGACTTCCATGGCATCTGTTTGGTTCTCTACCACAATGGTGGCATGTTACACTTTCGTACCTCTAGGCAGTTGACATATGTTTTTTTTTTATGGCCATAGTCTGCCTAAACTGCGGTATACAATTTCTTTACCACACAAGATGTGGCTTGCCACATTTTACTAAATTAGATTTGGCAAAGTGAGGTTGTCAACAATGCACCCATGTAAGTTATAACTCTTTTTAGTCCTAGTTTTTTCTCCACCACGAACATTCAAAGGAGCATCCTTTTTTCGAGGTTTGGACTTGGATTATCATAATTGAGGAACCTACAGCAAAGGAGGCGAATTCTGAGCAGGGTTAAGTGTTAACCAGTCAATACCATTTGATTCATGGATTATCAATGGGTCGTGGGTGCTATAGTAAATTCTTGCAATGGAATTTTTGCTGTTGTTTTGCATGGACTGCATAGGTATTAATAATGCAAGGTGGAGCAAAGTTCTAACCTTGAGAACAAACAAATAGAAAGAAAACGAAATCCACAAGATTTTATATTAAGTTCCTAGCTTCCGGTCGTGGTCTGTAACTTTCACCCAGCCAGGTTTTAGGGCTTTTATTACACGACCATTTGGACAACAGCTCCGGGTTCTGTTCTCATAATCCTGATCCTATATTTGGGCGTGGCCAAAATGGACCTGTGGCCAACAGAACTACATATTCATAATTGTAGGAGCAGTATTGCATTGTAAGTGTACATTCTTAGATGGCTATGAATTGATTCTTTTTTATTGAGTTATTAATTTAAACATATGAACCATCGTACCAACCCTTGTGGTTCTGCATTTGCCTTTTTTTTCACCGCTTATATGCCCCACAAAATGCTTTCCCAACTCCAGTATGTATATGCTACCAGCATTTATTTTCATGGCGGTGAGTGACAAGGACCTCTTTTTGTTGTGCAAACAGACACGTCCTCATGCAACTGTCGAAGTGGAGATATCAGAAGATATGCAGTTGGTGCATTTTGATTTCAATAGGTAAAAGACTAACGCTACAATGTGTTCCTTGGCATGATGAATCTTGCTAAGTGATCTAATTATCTACTCCTTCCGTCCCATAATTTAAGACGTTTATTGACACTAGTGTACTGTCAAAAAACGTCCTACATTATGGGACGGACGGAGTAACAATTTAGTAATAAGTGACATTTCTTATAATTTTCTGCCCTAAGTTTTCTTAGATTTAACTTGTCCAGTTTCCCAATTAAATGGGGTGTCTGTTGCTAAGCACAAATCTGATCTTATTTTGCATTCTTTCTGTACGGAGATTTCATAAATTTCTTGGCATACCTTTTCTGCTGGACACGCATCTCTAATTATTTCTGTATAATAGCTTGGATAAAAACTCTAAATAAGGGTCCCGATTTTTTCTAAAGGGAAATGTAACTTTTCAGTTGTATGATCATCCATTCTAAATAATGATCCATTAGTTGGGAATCAATGTCTGTTGATTCCCTTGACCACTTGAGGAACCTGTGGTGTCCAATCTGGTCGCAAACGAAACACTCAGCAGTACCACTGGTCTCTTTGATTTGCAGGATTCTAAAAATGCAGGAATAGGAAAAACACGGATTGCATTGTCATGCTCATTTAAATCTTACAGCATTTTTGTCTTGTTTGATTGGATCACAGTTAAAACAAAGTATTTTTTTCAAAAGGTTTGAGTGGATGCATAGTTATTATGAAATGTATTGTACAGTAATCTTTAAGAAAAATTCCTATAGGATTCAATCCTACTAATCAGACAAGTGACATAGAAAAATTCGTTAGGATTCCTATGAAAATCCTTGAATAGGCCTTAGCTTGTTATTTCTTTTTTCTGAGATGGTAGCTTGTTAGTATTTCTTAAGCAAGTGTTTTGCGTACTTGACATGGTGAGCCCACATCCACTACTTTATTGGCAATGGAAATCTTGTCTCAGCTCTATGAATTATGCAGAATCATTTGAGATCATGTCTTGTGAGTCATAAGTGCACAAGAAAACCCTTCGGCAACCATGTCTAACATGTATGTTTCTGAAAATGTAGCACTCCGTTTGAGTTGCACGATGATTCCTTTGTATTGAAAGCAATGGGGTTCTCTGGTAAAGAAGAAACTGACGGTACAGTGGCTCTGGTTGCAAATGCGGTTGAATGCTCAAGTGCATCAAATGTTTATGGGCGTCGATCACCACAACCTGCAAGGCCAAATGGAATTAGGCTACGAACCTCACCTCCTATTCCAGGGATACTGAAAGGGCGTGTCAAGCATGAACACTAGGCACTAAAATGGGTTGTTAATGTTTTGAGAGCTACTTGGATTTATACTCCCTTGGCTTCTGTAACTTAACATGTAAAAAGGCTTGTAAATTATGTCCATGGGGAAATGTGATGTTCTAATTTAGCTTTGCAGCCGATGGTAGGCTGATCGGCATGTGAAGCTCCAGGCCTGATTTTAACTTTTAGCTCAATTCTTTTTGTTCCTTTTTTGATTTAGAGAAACAGACTTGGTTTGGTCCAATATAACTGTAGCATTTTATCTTATCAAAACTACTCCCTCCGTTCCAAAATAGATGACTCAACTTTGTAGTAACTTTAGTACAAAGTTGGGTCATCTATTTTGGAACGGAGGGAGTAGTCAGCATCTTAGTTAGGATGTTCACTCGAGTAAATTGCATGTATATCATACTGTTATGTATCTGGGGAAGTTAAATTTGTCAGAAGATACGAAAAGACTCCTCTTGTGTTATATGTTTGTAGTTCCGTGATAGATACACCAGGCCCGGCCCTGAGGGGGGGCAGGGGGAGCGGCCGCCCCGGGCCCCCACAATCCAGGGGCCCCTCCTCAGGTGTGTTTACGTAGCTCCTAAACGCCGTGGCTTAAGCGAGGTAATCAGGCGTGGATGCAGGCGAACATGGCGATTATTCCTATTCCTTCACCTAGCAATCCCGAGATCATACGCCGTCTTTTCCGAGATAATGAGCACGCCATTACGCTCCTTCTCTCTTATAATTTCCTTCCTAATCGATCGCGAGTTCGCCGTCTCGCCGATGCGATCTCGGTTCCCGGGCGCCCCGATCGCGAGATGCAGTCAATACTCAGTATACGCCGCCGCTTTTTCCCGCCTTCAGGCGCTGTCGCGATGACACGCACAGACATCGCCGATTCGACTAGCGCTAGTGCTAGAGCCAGACGCGAGTTCACGTCGTGGCATAGGCTCATCGCTGAACGATCCAATCCATTCAAGATATATTATATTATATTCCCTAATCCCTACTCCCTATAGGTTTAGTACTAAATTAAGTAATTTCTCCTTTGCATACATCGTGCATAGCTGGCACCGATCAGCCTTTGATGCCATTATTTATTTATTTCCAGCATGGTGGAAAAAGATAGAATATGTGCATGAGTTGATACATGAGAGAGGCGCTCTTTGTAAAATTATCAAGAGTAATATACTTCGTTAATTCCAAATGATGAATTGGCGATTTTGTGGAGGAAGAGAATCAAACTGATGGGCATTCTGAATCTTAACAAGAGGAAGCTGTTGACATCAAATAGGTGATAAAAATGTAAGTGGCCCTGATAGTAAGTATTTCAAGAAGTGCACATGCACAATCTACATCCTGTTTTTTTTTTCTGAATTAAAGATTATAAATTCACTTCATCATATGATGTACTTTGCGTCAACGATTGAGTTTTTTTAAGGTAACATATATGATTATTTCGTATGTATATTGTTTTTGATGCATTTAAGTGTTTATTTGTAACATTTCATATATGCATATATCCATTATTATTACTATGTTGTTTATACTAAGGGCCCTCAATTTTGGTTTCGCCCCGGGCCCCCAAAATCTCAGGACCGGCCCTGAGATGCACATATGTGGCCACACGCCCTCTCCCCGTGTGAGAAAATTTGACAGGATTGCAGATGTTAGAAGTGTTTCTATAACCATAGTTTGCATTGGATATTGTTAATCTTGTGCAGTATTGTCGACGATCTATTCGTAGTCGCTTTTATGATCGAGTGAAAGGTCATGAAGGACTATAGAGAGATGAGTGGCGCATGAAGAGATCTTGTCACACCTTGGTTTTATGTAGGTTCAGGCTCTTCGATGATAATAGCTCTATGTCCTACTTGTAGATATATTGATGAATGAGAGAATACAAAGTAGTACTCCCTCCACCCGGAAATACTTGTCCTAGAAATGCATAAAATTAATGTATCTATAACTAAAATAAGTCTAGATACAACCATTTCAAGGACAAGTATTTCCGGACGGAGGGAGTACAATCTAACAAACTAGGTCTCGTGAATGAACTTGAGTCAATAATATGGATCTGTGGTATAAAAACACTTTGGAGCCCAAGCATCGGGTAGCTCGTTATCACGAGCTAAGTTGGTCATAACTGCAGAAGCTCCAAGATATACCCCCGTTCTAATCTCTACGTACTGCACCAACCGCTCCAAATTGATTACCCTACACAACACCATCAACATTGATCTTTGACAAACCATTCTGAAGGGCCTTCCATTGTGTAATAGTGTTGCACAAAGTTCTAGTTACCAGGGCTTGTGGTTTAGCGAGAACCTGAAGATTTGATATACATGATAAGACAAATTGATTAGTGGCTTGAGAGCTCTATAAAATAGGCTCATGAATCGCTCTCCTTCGAGTTGTCCAAATCACAAATAGCGCGACCATCATCCTTGCAAACTTATCATGGGAAACGGTGTCATGCATCTTGAATAGCCACTGTTTAGCGCAGGGTTCATGATTGGCTCTCACACGTGCATCAATATCGTAATCAAAAAGCGCCCATTACACACCGCGACATTGTACAACTAACCAAAGAATTGTGCCATGAATCTTCAGCTCCACAAAGTGTGCAATTGCTCATCAGAATCATGTTACGGTGGTCTCAGACATCCTCGGTTGACAATGATTGTCTTGCAAGACTCTACAGAAAAAATAGCTTCGAAGGGACCAATATCGCCCAAAGTGAAGTAAATCCATTAGTATCAGGTTGGGCATTCAGAGAGCCCGCTCTGTTGTCTAGAAAATTTTCACGATTCAACTTGGTGGTGACCAACATCCAAATAAGTGGAGCAAGCAGAAAAAAAACCTTTTCGGCCTGGAAGCCAAGCCCCCAAATCCTCCAAATTGCGTGTACACAAAGGGATCGACATAATGGCCTCCATGTCAGACACATAAAAATGGATCTGATTAGTTCCTCATTCCATGCTGCCGAGGTCAAGATCATGAACTCAGAAACTAGTCGTGGGGGATTTGTGACTAGATAAGTAATCGACCTTGGTAAGGACTCCATTGGAATCTAGTTATGCGCCCAAATTTTAGTGTTATCTCCATTATCAATGCTTCAAATTCAACATTGCTTCAATACATCCCCACCATCAAGGATAACACGCCATATTTGTGAAGGATGAGTCCCAAATTCAGCATCAAGTGAAAGTGCTAGTTATCGACTAGAGGGGGGGGGGGTGAATAGGCAATTTTTATGAAAGTCTTCAAAACACGAGGTCTTTGAAGACAAACTGTTGGAATGAACCTATATAATATGCAGCGGAAGATGAACTGCACTAGACATGCCATAGTCAAGTAAGTAATACACTGAAATCACGAAGACTAACAGCAGCTAGGTAGTATGGATCAGAATGGAAGAGAGTATGAAGGCAAACAAGTAATAGTCTTCGCATAGTAAAGTCAAATAGACCAGGCAGGCAGGCAATGACTTCACGAAGATAAACTAAAAAGTAAAGGAAGTAAGGGATAGAACCAGTTGCTTGGTGAAGACAAAGATTTGATAGACCAATTCCAGTTGCTGTGACAACTGTACGTCTAGTTAGAGAGGCTGAGATTGAACTCAGAAGACTATGTCTTCACCTTATTCCCCTTGAGCTAAGGACACCCATTCCTCGCTGAATCACTCTGGTAAGTCTTCAAGGTAGACTTCCAAACCTTCACAGACTCCGTTCACTGGCGATCCACAATAACTCTTGGATGCTCAGAACGTGATGCCTAACCGGCTGGAGGATGCACAGTCCTCAAGTGTAACAAGTCTTCAGGTCACGCGGACAGAAAGACTTTAGTGATGCCTAACACTCTTTGGCGTTTTGGGCTTTGTCCTCGCAAGGATCTCTCTCTCTCTCAAAGGCTTCAGAGGTGGGTTGCTCTCAAATGACAAAAGAAGCACGCTAACTATGAGCAGCCACTAATTTATGGTGTAGGGGGTGGGCTATTTATAGCCAGGAGGCAACCCAACATGATATGTCCGAAATGACCTTGGGTCACTAAGGAACTGACACGTGTCCAACGGTCGGATTTCAAACACACGCGGCAGCTTGGCTTGGGCTACAAGAAAAGCTGACTCATCCAACTCTGGATAAGGTTTGCTCTCATTGTCTTCGCTCGAAGACATAGGATTTTGGTTGAGCATCACTTCAGTCATCTGACTTTGTTCACTTGGACCCAGTTAACAGCACGGTGGTTCCTATGACTCAATAAGGAAGAAAAAGAAAACGACGAAAGAAACTATGTCTTAGCACTCCATAGTCTTCAAGTGAATGTCTTCACGAGTCATTATGTTCAACGTGGATGTCTTCACGAACCACCATTGTCTTCAATGTCTTCATACATTTTGGGGGTCATCTTTGGTAGGTAAACCGAATAAATGAGTGACTACTACCTGTGTTATCCTGCAATTCTCACAAACACATTAGTCCCTCAACCATGTTTGTCATCAATACTCCAAAACCAACTAGGGGTGGCACTAGATGCACTTACATCAAGTATCGAACATGTTGGGGAACACACTATGTTTTTTACCGTACATACGAACACACCCATGAACACTATGTAGATGCAAGGATAGTGATCATATTACTACCAATGGAATTCCCGCGCAATGGAAGTAGTTGAGGGAGAGTTGGTCAAGCACGATTCCCGCAGCTAGGTATTACCTCCTAGTCGCGAGAACTCCCCCCGGTCAAGAGGCGAACGTATGACCCCTTTGCAGTATCCATGCATACCATATTAGCGATTCAACAACACTTCATCATCTAGGACAAAGGACTACCGAAGAACTAGGGGAAGAGTAGCCTACCGGTGTATAGATCAAATCAAGGGAGGGGAGGGTGCGCGCTTGCACGGGGGAGGGGGGGGGGCTGGGGCTCGACGGAGTCGAATTCATGAGATCTTGGGTAGGGGGTCCCGAGCTAGTAGCTTAGATGAGATGGTAACAAGGACACAAGGTTT